AAATCAATGTTGGGGGATTTTCAGTAGTCTCTATAGAATCAAGAAACGTCCAATATGAAATAATGTAGTGAAGGCAGAGTATTTGCCATTACTCCTTGGTTTGCTTCAGCAAGGACAGTTTTGGCGATTTGATTTTTCAAGAAAGTCATCATTGGTGCCGTGAAGCACAATTATTTTCTTTGTGACCACGTCATGAAAAATTTAGTTTTAGGGATGGGTAGATGAGAACTTGCTGTTATGAGAATTTCATCTGAAGGCCTAGGTGATGGGAATGACCGGCTATGGGTGCACAAAGCCTTTCGAGAGTAATTAGACTCATTTGGTATTATTTCCATTTGTAAACAAGTGTGGAATATAATGTCCATGTGCCATGACCAGAAGAATGCTGGCTCCAGGGAGGGCACTATTTCCATGTTAAAGATCCTGTTCTTGGCCGCTGTGACTGGTGGCACAGGTTGTATTCCAGCAAATTGAATATTATGGAAAAACAAAAACAAGATGAATACAGATAAAATTTTACTTATTGTTATTATTTTTGCACTGAGTTGTGGACAACACAGAGAGATGATATGGAGTCTGTGCAGGGAAAACTGTCTATTTCCATATGGATTAAGCATATCAAATGATACATATAGCCATCTGAAAAGGACATTAAAGCAAAAAATGTTTATGTAGTTAAAGAGAAGATAACATTGCAAATGGGAGGCATAGAGCCTTGTTACTACATACCCAGCAGATTGGCCACACATGTAAGCTTAATGCTTTTATTTTGAGCCATGTGATGGCAGTGAAGCATCCAGATCCAGTGGGATAAGAAATGATGATAAAGAACCTTTTTGAGTAATACAACATTAATTTTCTAATTGTATGAGGTCCTATCATGTAATTGTGAAAGACTTGCCTAGGCTGGTTAATGTCTAATCGGGTCATGAGTCCATCTTCTGGTGGCGAGTTTGAGGTCTTGGGAGCCTAGTAGTAAGCTAAACCATAGCCAAAGCACAGTGACATGTGCTAATGCACCCTGGTGACCCAAACTTTATCCAAATTTCACTTGTTGTGAATAGGTTGCAAGAAAATATTAACATACTAACTTTATGTAGAAAAGATATTTGTTTAATTCAGTAATGCGGCTAAAATTGCTTCATGTAGATGTGAAGTTCTTTAATTATTTCATTTTATTTTTTATTATTATTTTTCTCTCCTTTTTGTTACATTTGATTTGTATATGAACTAGCTTAAAGTAAAACTGATAGAAATATGCTATATCACATGTCTCTTATATCTCAGTGATATATAATGCTTGAGTAATTACTGGAAATTATTTTTTTTTATTTATTATTATTATTTATTATTATTATTTTTTTTTTTTTTTTTTTTTTTTTTTTTTTTTTTTATAATTATTTTATACTATGATGCTAATATTTACTGTTATCCACTTTCACCAGATTTAAAGAATGCCACCCGTGGAAATCCAGTGGTGCGACCATTCATCGGTGTTGCTAGAATACCTACGGCAACTGTATGAAGAGGGTCGCTTTGTTGATGTCGGACTAGAATGTGAAGGTCGCCAAGTGAAGGCTCACAAGGCAGTCATTTCAGCATGTAGTCCTTATTTAGAGGTGAGTAGTAATGTGAGGTTAGTAATGTTTTGCCCCCCTCCCTTACCCCCCCCCCCATTTTCTTACCCCTTTTCATGTTCCCTAATATAAGATACAGATTTACCATATCTGTTTATGTGTATTTTCTTAACTATACCTCTATGAATATTAAAGCTAACTAGAGTTCTTTCATTTTCCTGCAGGGTTTACTAAAGGGCAACCCAGCAAGAAGCCATCTTATAAAATTTAATGGATATTCTTATAACAGTTTGCGGGCAGTCATAGATTTTATGTACAATGGTAAGTACTCCACAAAACTATTATTATCCTTTAAAAAGACAATATTTGTGTGCTTCGTGCTTTGTGTTTTCTACTATTGACATACCCCAACCAGACATACACCCAAATGAGTTGCAAGTCATGATTTTTGTTAGTATTGATAGATAATAGTGTACATTCCCCAACCAGACAATGAACGAAATGGTGCTGGGTTACACATATGCGCATGCACATATGCACACTCCCTCATTTTGTTAATGGTATTTTTCTTTTCATAATTTCCCCCTCCCTCACACACACACACACACACACACACACACACACACACACACACACACACACACACACACACACACACACACACTCTCTCTCTCTCTCTCTCTCTCTCTCTCTCTCTCTCTCTCTCTCTCTCTCTCTCTCTCTCTCTCTCTCTCTCTCTCTCTCTCTCTCTCTCTCTCACTCACTCACTCACTCACTCACTCACTCACTCACTCACTAACATATAGGTATGTAAGAGAAAAGGAGTTATATATATAAAATATTTGTTACATGTAATAAGCTGTATCAGCCTGTAGGCTTATGCTTTACCTTGCTTAATTTTTGTTTAATAATTGCCTTTTTTACAGGTAAAGTAATGGTTGAGCAAGAGCACCTTGCTGCATTCCTTAAGTTAGGCCGAGCACTACAGGTATGTATAGAACGTACATGTTCTTTTATCGAACAGTTATCTATGTCTTTTTCTTTATGGACCCTTCTGTAACTGATGTATTATCAAGATATGGCTTTTCTTTTTCATTTCTCTTTGTGCATTTGTTTCTTGTTCACCTTGTTTTCCTTGCCTTTTTCCTTTCCCTCATTCGTACCGTACCTCCTGTCACCCCTCTCCTCCTCCTTTCCTCTTTCTTTTCCACCTTCGCCACCTCTATCTCCTCCTCCCTCCTCCTCCTTCCTCCTCCTCTCCCTCCTCCTTCCTCCTCCTCCTCCTCCTCCTCTTCCCCTCCTCCTCCACCTTGTTATATTCTTCCTCCTTCTCCTCCTCCTCTACCTTGCTTTCCTCTCCATCCTCCTCCTGCTCCTCCACTCCCTGATCTCCTTCCTTCACCTCATTCTCCTCCTTATGATCATCATCATCTTCATCAACTGTTCTTTTTTACCTTGTCCTTATCAACCATATGTTTCAAATCCTATTCCATGTACATCATCATCTTCATCAACTGTTCTTTTTTACCTTGTCCTTATCCTTCTTTTCTTCCTTATCTTTCTCATTCACCTGTTTGTCTTTGTCTTCCTTGTATTCCTACTTATTGTGCTCCTACTCCTCCACCTTTTATTGTTTCTCCTCCTCCTCTTCCTCTTTTTTCTTTCCCTTCTGTTCTTTTCTTCTTCCTGTTCCTGTTTTTGTTTATCTTTCTCTTTCTACTCCTAATGGTACACCAGCACTGTCAAAGCATTTCTGGATTGTTGAATATCCATCATCATCTATTTTGATAATTTTGTCATATGTTAAGTAAGATACAATGTACCTACTAACTGTGGCAGGGAATTAACTTTTAGCTTTCTTTATACTTTGTGATATATAATTTTTTTATGTTACATCTGTTTTTTTATCCCCTAGATTTAATTAAACATTTATTTTTTAGGTACGAGGTATTTTGGATATCGCTGCCCAGTGTGAAGAAGCTGGTCTCACTACAGCTGAAGAGACAAAGTGTAAGAAAAAGTAACTGTTTTAGTTATAGATTATGTGAACTAATTTTACGCTTGCGCAACTACATTTGATATTGTGATTTGGTACACAAGGACACAGTTTTTTTTTTTTTTTTTTTTTTTTTTTTTTTTTTTTTTTTTTTTTTTTTATGAGACTGTCTCCCAGAATAGACAGGTACTTATATTAGATTGTTGCAAATTTCAGCAAATGCCCAGTACAGCACCACAGTTCAGCAGCCACCAAAAACTGTTGCCCAGGCAGCGCCTAAAATGGTCCAACAGACACCAACCACAGCAGAAACCAAGAAATATGCCTTCCTTTTGGACAAAGGATCCACCAACACAGCAAAGAAACCTGGCCCACAGTTCCGCAAAGTGATGCCCAACATTATTGGTATGTTGTCTCACAAAAGTTAAGAAAGGTAATGAAGGGTGAAACATTATCGGTTATTGTAATATTGGGTGGGCCGAAGGAGGTGAGAATAATTTGTGAGTTAGTAGATACTTTTCCACCCATTTCTCCAAGGATTGATCCGATCAACTTGACAGGTACTGTAGATCAGCAAGGAAACATTAACAAAGTAACCAGCATTGGTGCTGCCCAGGTGGCACAGCAACAACAGCAGCAGCAGCCACAGCAGCAACAGCAGCAACAACAAACTGTCCAACAAACACAAGCACAACAAACTGTGCAGCAGGTCAGTTGGTTTTACAGCCACTGAGGCTTTGTAACTTTCATTAAAAGAATAGTAGAGTCCTTATCTGGAGATGAGTAGAAAAGGACTGAAGGGCATTTTGATTTATTTGAAGAGTAATTATTATAACTGTTATAATTAGTCATGCAGATTGAAATTATAACTGTCTTGCAGCATTTTAAATCAGCAATCTTGCATAAACATGGCTCAAAATATTTAGTTATACTGTTGACATCTTTAACCTCTTCTATATGATACCTATACAGCATCACTGTGGTAAACCAAGTTTTCAGTTTAGTAATTATGTTACTCTGACAGATATTGGATTGGTTCTATGTATCCTATGTGACTTTCCACTATAAAAAGGGTATGCAATCCTTGCCAGAAGTAGTGAAAAAGAAAAAGAAAAAAATGATTATAATGGTTATATTAATAAGTTAAACCCCTTTGATCCGGGTGACATGGCCATCATACCATGAGTAAATATGGCTTTGAGGGGTGGGTGATGTGAACATGCCATCATGGGTAAAAATTGCATGCGTGGGTGATGGAAAAGACTTGCCATGAGTGCACAAAGCTCTTGGAAGGTGATTAGACTTATTTCGCATTTTGAAAGGGGTTTTTGCATTATCCACATCAATAAACGAGTGTGGAATGTATTGTCCATAAGTCATGACTGGAAGAGTGCCAGTACTAGGGAGGACACCATATCCATGCAATACAGGTTGTATTAAAGAAAATTGAATATTGCAAAAGAAAATTAATGACAAACAACAACACAACAACAACGCAACCACCACCACCACCACCACCATCCCCCACAACCACCACCACCACCACCAAGTTATTTACTACACAGAGAGATGCTATGGAGTATGTGCAAGGAGAACAGTGTATTACCATCTGGATAAAACAAATTAAAAGACATGTGTACTTTGGAAAAGAGAGAGAGAAAAAACAATAAAACTCTATGAAAAATAACTTCACAAAGGGGAGGCATAGAACCCTGTCACCATTTACAAGTATTTTTGTGCACCTGGCCTACACACCACACACCTGGCAGAGCGGCCTCTTACATAAGCCTAATGGCCATACTTTCATCCATGTGATTGCCGTAACACAACCAGATTCAAGGGGTTAATTCGATTTCTCACAATAATTATTTTTAGTGTGACAGGCCATCTATTTATATATGCTTCTAAATTACCCCCTTTGTGCAAGGAATGGTTGGGGCTATCATGCACTGATGGTACAGGAATTGAATGCAGGTCAGCAAGATTGCTATACAAGATAGCTACTTCTGCCCTAATATGAATATTGATTTTTATCTGATCCTCATGGTCCCTCTGAAACCCATCCATGGACCCCAGAATAAAGAACTCCTGATCTAGTATATGATTTTAAATAGTCCCTCTCCATGCAGGTTGTGCAACAACAACCACAGCAAGTCCAGTCACAGCAGACTCAGCCAGAAGAAACAGTGACAGAAGAACAGCAACCACAGCAGCAGCAAGCACAGGAAGCTGCACCAACCACACTGGAAGAACTGCAACAAGCACTAGCATCAGGCCAGGCCATACTGCAAACAACAGACAATGGATCAGAACAAACACTCCAGATGGTTGAGGGACAATGTGAGTTTTTGCTTTTTATCATAAGATGGTTTTATATGCAGAATGGTTCTGATGAACTGTAGAAGAGTTATGATTATTTATAGAGCAAGTCTTCTCTCAGCTTTAGATTATTATTTACATAATAAAGTAGCATTTAATCATGGTAAGCATGGTAGTTTATGAAATTAAATGTATTCTAGATATATTTAGCTTTTGACTGATATCACTAATTGTATATTTGAGTATTTAAAGAAAATGAAAAATTATGATTATTTTCCAATTCCCCCTAGGTGTAGTAACAGGCTCTGGCCAGACCTATGTCGTGGTTCAAGAAGGAGACAACATTAGCTTTGTTCCAGCAGAAATGGTTCAAGGGGATCTAGGAGCTGCAGTGAATGGTGGCCAAGTAAGTTCACTTGTTTATACATTTGTATCATATTGTATTTGATATGCATTGTTGAAATTGATAGTAATAGTCCTTGAGAAAATGTATAGGTTTTGTTTTTCCCAATAACGTTACTTCAAACATAAATTGATTTTGAGTTTTTGATTGGTACACAGTTGAATTTTTTCTCAGACAACAATTCTTTGAAAGGTAGGTCTGCTAATGTCTTGCATTGATTAGGTTGTTGAAGGACTTGACCCTGTAGAGCAACAGTTGGCGCAGATGGAGGGCCAGGTACTCACACACAACCAGGTTAGTAAACACAATTTTATCTTAGATTTTATGCTTATATTGATTTGCTAGTGTAAAGAATTACAAAGTATTTTTAGACTGATATCAAGACCAAACATTTAATCTAATGAAATCTTGATACAACAAAATTAGATTGTACAGTGACATTTGAGGAAGTTATTTATGTGTATTTTTTCTCACTTAATTTAATGTAAAAAATATGAAATGCCAAATGTTAATCTCTGCTTTCTCCAGGTCATTGAGGGGTCTGAGCAGCAGCCACAGGAAGCTGGTGGAGGGCATGAGGCCACCACTGGAGCTGGCGTTGGGGACAGTGGCTCTCTGGACACTATGAGCGTGGTGGAATCGTTGGTCAAGCTTGGGGAAAAGCAACCAGCGGACAATGAGAATGGCTCGGGGGAAGAGACACCTGAGGTAAGTTGTTTTGCTGAGGCAGAAGTCAGATAGCGTGAAGCCATCTGTACCTGGTTATAATTCTTCTTTTACTTGGCAGCCAGTATGTTTCACACTATAGTTGTATAGGCTTGAGTGGCATGCATGAATGCCAGTATGAGGTTCTGCTTATAGAATTTTTTGCTTTGCACCTGTTGTTTATTTCTGATCTTGTATACTAAGAATTTATACTGTCTATCTCTTTGCTATTTTGTTTCTTTTATTCAGTATATAGGATTAGATTTTTTTCATCATTTGTTTGAATTTTTATTGTTTCATTTACAAATAATACCATACTAGTTACGGACTTTATTTTATATTAAACCTTTTTTCTTCTTTACATTTTACCATTATTTAGTTATTTGACTACCGTATTGTCTTTATCAACTCCAGCAAGTCATTGCAGAAGCTGAAGGATCATTCCAGTATTTTGATGATAAGTTAGAAGTCATATTAAAACTTAATTTCTCTTTTATAAATTAAAAAAACCTTGACAAACTTTGAGAATACAGTAAGAAAATCAGTGCAGTGCATATATAAGTTATTCATGAGCTGAACTGTCAGGAAGCATAATACATGGATTTCTCCTTTCATAGCTTATTTCTAATCCTTTTTCATTTTTATATTTCCTTTCTCTTCTCTTTTTCCTATTTTGTTTTTATTTTGCCACTTGTTCTCTTCTTTCCTCCTCTTACTTTACTTCTTCCTCTCCTCATTCATCCTTTATCTTTTGTTCTTTTCTTTTTTTCATTCTCCTTTCTCTACATATGAATGTAAATCTCATAAGACAACACAGAGAATAGCAGGGGGTAAGTACGTAAGTGCAAAGCGAAGATGAATGTGGCAAGGGAAGCCATTCTCAGACCCACAGCTTTCTTCCTCTTTCACTCTTGTCCTCAATCCAGGTGGGAGCCGACATGCCGAGCCTAGAGGGAGACGCAGCTGATGATGGGCCCGAGGTAGTTGATAGTGCACTTCTTAAATGATCATGGGTGATTTCTGGCTTTTGTGTTCAATTTTTGGGACGAGATGGCTTAGCTAGTGAATTGAGATGTGGCAGATTGGCATTAATCTGTAAAGAGGTTCTTTTCCAGATAAATTCCCTTCTGCAACAAAGGTGTTGGCATGACCTTTTGCATATATATATATATAAAAAGATATGACTTAAGACTTCTACTATACTGAGCTTACCCTTTGGTGATATCTGTGTCCTCTGGTGTCCAAATCAGTTTCCAGTATGTCTTGATGTTATGGGAAGGTGTAACATGTTTTCCCCCAACTGTCCTGATTTAGTAGACTTCTTTTTGTTGAAACACACTCGCACATGAAAACACGCATCCACATGCATGCACTCAGATGTACATTCACACCCACACCCACACCCTCACTCACATCCACACTTACACCCATACCTGCAATCACACCCAGACCTGTAATCACACGCTCACTTGCACTCACACCCACACCTGCATACACATGTGCACTCATGCACACACACACATGCGCACTCACATGCACTCATACTAAATTACAGACACATACATTTTAATTGTGAATACATAGTTCTAGAAAAATGGCCTTGGGCTTTTCTCTTTGACTCGAAACTATTACTATACAACTCCCTCTCCTATTATTTTTATTTTTTCTACTGGTACCTTTTCTCTTCCTGCTGCTATTTCCCTACTACTAATCCAGTTCCTTTCTTTCTTCCTTTTTTCTTCTTTTTTGAGCTTATGGTATCTGATTTTACCCAAAATAAATTTTGTAATCCTTGGTCAGTGTGATACATTCAAAACAAACTTGGCTCCCTGATCCAAGCCTCCATCACGCTAATCATATGTGATGTTCATATATGCAGTGCAGAAAAAAATGACTGATTTAATTTTTTTTTTTTTTTTTTTTTTTTTTTTTTTTTTTTTTTTTTTTTTTTTTTTTTTTTTTTTTTTTTACTTGAACATAAGCCCACAGAACAATTTAAAACTGATATTTACATGTGTACATAAATACAGTGCATGATTTTGTATATATACAGATATTAGAGCAACGTGGGAGTGGTCTGTGCATAAAAGTTTCCCAGATGAAAGGACTAGTGAAGAAAATGAACGTGTGTGTGTGCGTGGGTGTGGGTGTGGATGAAAGGTGTGAGAGAGAGAAAGAGAATAGTAGTTTATTATAGGATTTGTGCATTATGCTTTTATTTACCATAGGATTTGTTTGAGTAGATAGTTGTGTGTTCTATAATTGAGGACTAGGGAAGAAATTGAATATCTGTGCGTGTGTGGGTACGTGCGTGCATGGGTGTGGGTGTGTGTGTTTGAAAAAGGGAGAGAGAGAGAGAGAGAATTAGCAGTTTATTATATAATTCTTATATTATTTACCATAGTATTTGTTTGAGTAGATAGTTGTGTAATCTATAATTGAATTACACTTATATTTTTGCTTGTGTAAAAATGTATGTAAAGTAGACTTATTGCTTCTGTTTTAAACTTTTGTTCTTATTGTTTATGTCATGTATTAATTTTGTTTGGTTTAATTGTTTATCAACTACTGTTGGGTTATTTTGTAGTTGGTCATTAGTGCATGTTATTGGATACTTCCACATTTGTCTCTCTGAAGGAACTTTCACAAAGCTGCAGAAAGAGCCAATCAGTTATTTAGCTTTCTGTTCCATTTTTTTAGCTATTATTTTTTATTACTAACTTAACCCGTAGCCGACGGGTGGCATGTACGTACATGTCATGGCTGTTGTGGACCGAAAAACGGATGGCATCATATCATGCCCATTGCCATGCCACTGGCTCATTGGATGTGATTTGTTTTTCTCCGATAGGAGCAGCTTCATTTGTATGGTAAAGATTTTAGGCAATGGCACCTATAATGAAGATAAACCTTCAAAATTATAATATATTTATAAATTATAGCAAAATAAAAGCTTTTAGGTGCTAAATGTCACTCGCAAACTACCAATCGAGCCGGGCGCAAACAGGGAAACTACCGATGCATGCCAACAATCCCGTTCTTACGTCCACTTGCCAAACATTTTTCCCCGTCGGCACTGGGTTAAGGTTACCCTTAGACCTGTTTTGTATCTTAGTGTCAAAACAAGAATATTCTTTGTTGCAGTGATTGAATGATTATCAGCATTTGTAGAATCCAGCATAATCATTTTAGGATGATTTTGCTTATGATGTTTAGGAAAAAAGAGAATGGACATCTTGCTAGTAAGGTATTTAATCTTGTTGTATAAAAAGCTTGTCTTTTCATTTATTGAATTCAGTATTTCTTCTAGTACCTAATTTGATAAGTTAAAAGTTAGAGAGTTAAGAACACATTAGCAAGAGCTAGTGTTTTTTACCTTAATAGGAGTATCATTGTATTTGTAAAACAGGGACACAAAATTGTCACTGCTAGGCTTTCACACAGAACTTTAATCAGCTGACATATTGTATTGGAGAGTTCCTTCATTCAAAAGCAGTATTCTTAGAAGAAAAGAGAAAACACCATTTTGTTTTTCAAAGGTACTGGTAATGCTGTCTGTTGTAATGGTTTTATTTCCATTTTGGGTCATTTGATTTATTTTTTTATGGCTTTCTGACGGAGCAACAAGGCTACCATTTATTTTCTTTCTTTCTCTCTCTCTCAAATGAGAAGGTATGGATGCTTTGAGATATATGATGATATGACATATTTAACTCATTGTTGATTAATTAATAACTTCACTTGGTTTCCTGACTTGTGTGCTTTTTCATATCTGTCACAGTTAGAGCTTTTTTATATTCTTGCAAATAGACTCACAAGGATGTATTGATTCTAGCTTCACTCTATAAGAAAGAAAAGAAAGTTATACAGCAGTTTGTGAATTTATAAAACTATAGAACTATGTGAAAAGATAATATTTCAGTCTGAAAAACTATTGAGTCATTCAGAAGAGGATGTACTTTTCTTTTCTTCAAAAGGCTTTTAATCAGAATGAGATCATGTAAAAGTGTATTTATTAAGAATAGAACTTTTAACTTGCTTTTGCATCCAGTCTTTGTTAAAGTATTTTACACCAAATATAATTGTTGCCTGTAAAGGAGCATTTTGGTAATTTAATCCATACAGTGTTATATACAAGTTGGATATTATGAAATAACTTATCAGTCACAGTTTGAATTTCAGAGTCTTCAACTCTGCAGCATATGAAAATGCAAAACAATGAAATGCATGGAAATCATCAAGAAAAATTAAGCCTGGGTTTTACATTGCAGGTTGGTGCAGACATGCCTTGCTTAGGTGATGTGGAAGAGGATGATGGTGGAGTTGGAACTGTGCCAACTGAGAGAGTCGATGGAGAAGGAGAAGGTGAGGAGGAGCTTGAGGAGTCAGGTGATGGAACCACTGGGGAGGACACAGGCAAGCGGCGGAGACAACCTTCACAAAAGATGATTGAAGCTATGGGTATGCTGAAGAGGAGAGTTCCAGAGTCTCCAACACAAGGTAAATCCTTTTCTGTGTGAGAGAGAGGCAGTTTATTTCCCATGCCTTTAGTAAATGTAGGGTTTACGAGCCATGCTGAAAGGGTGAAAGGCTAGCTTTTTGTCAGTCCTGAATGGCCTGGAGAAGCCATAGGCATGGTATTTCCTTAGTTGATCATCTAGCCTTTACCTTCCATAGGGTAATAGACCCCTTCCTCTCGCGCAACATCCTCCACTCCATCATGTCTTGTACAGTCTTCTCCATTTTCTACCCCTTCCTTCCTTATTACTACTTTACATCCTTATTGTCCTCCTCCCTCCGGTACTGTCTCACACCACACCACTCCCTCTTCCTCCTGTCCTGATTCTTTGTGATTTGATTCCCCTTATAACCCCTTTGTCTGACAATACCTTCTTCCAACAGCGTCTGCAAAAATAAGCTGGCAAAGTTTCCACCCTCAGTCATGCATACCCCTCTTCCATGTACTCTCTCCCAACACACTTCATCCTCCCCATTCTCCATCTGCACCACCATCCCTTCTTTTCCTAATAACCTTTTGCTCCTCCTGGATACTCATGTGACTCCTTTTTGTCACAGTGTCCTTCCCCAGATCCTCTCCCATCCTGATGCTTCATCTCCTTCCCCTGGTTTCTTTTCTTATTCTCCCATTTCTCCTTGTGCTTCACTGACACCCATCTCTACCCTTTTTCCCATTGATTACCTTATAATGGTTCTTCTTTTGGTCCCACACAATCTGTTGTCCTAGCCCTACTTTTCTGCAGCCCATACCTCTTTTTCTTGTAACTTGTCCTCTCTTCTCGGTTCCCCAATCTGTTGGACATCACATTTCCTTTGGCAACTTGTTCTCTTTCTCCAAATGCATAAATACCCTGCATTTGATCTAATCTAATCATCCCTCCCCCTTTGACTAGTCCTTGCCTTATCACATTAGCCCCCTTCTTTACTCTTTTCACAACCATGCTATCCTGTATTACTGTACAACCATTGACATCTGATGCATTTTGTTCTAATCATTAACTCATTTTTACCCACAGTACTTGACCCTATTGCTATATGACCTTTGATACCTAGCATGATGATTGTTTTAAACTATTAACCATCATTGTAGTCAATATCTTTATGTGTAAAAAAATCCAAATGGATATATTGTCATGGTGTCTTGTTTAAGCATTCTGTATTTGTCATATCTTCCCTTTGTCAAGACAATATGATGGGCATCATAAAAAATTAGCATGTGATTTTAGAGTTATAATTCATGAATTAGAAGATAAAACTAATAGAAAAAGAAATTAATCCAATAGCATAACAGATCTGATCAGCCTGAACATGAGGTCTCAAAAAATACACCCATGTCTCCATTTACCCACCTTATATTCATGTTTTGAATGTAACACCTCGGAGATGTAAATAGATTGCCCTATTCCCCTCCAACTCTGTGTGTGCGAACATCTTCATGCTGCCAGCTGTTGAAAAATGCCTCGCACACCACATTCACTTTGGTGTGCTTTTTGCTTATCATGGCTGCAAATTCCCAAAATATTCATATATCTTTTAGTATGATTTGATGGTACTCAGAAAAACATACGAAGGCTCTGGCCCATCTGTCTGGGCATCAAGACCATGGACCCCAGAAAGTACATGGATAATATAACCAAAGTGCCAGTGCCAAACCATTGTCCTTTACAGCATAATAGACCTCATGTGATGGAGCCTTTACATATTTACCAGGGTTTTAGATGTATTTGGTTGATTTTTTTCTCAAAAACTTGTACCCTTCCCATAGATTTTTAAAGAACTCTTCATATTTCTTGACATCCTTGATAAATCTGAGTATGAAAATATATGCTTTGAAGAGCAATTGCTAACTCGTTTATCTCTTGTTTCAGGGGGGAGAGGTAAAAAGTTGAAGAACTAAATATTTTGACTTCACTTTCTGCTGAGTTTTTGTTTAGAATAAGTTTAGGTAAGTGTATACATGCAATGTTTTCATATCTTTTTCTTCTTCCTCCTTTACTTTTAAGTTAAGGTCAAGTTTGTAGTTTTATAGATATCCTTTAGTCACCTGGTGCTTCTCGTCAGTTGTTACATATAAAGGAATATGTAAGTTACCTCAATAAAATGTGAGGCTCTAAGAAACTTTTTTTTGGATAGGTAATTATTACAGTATACCTCAAAAGTGAAATAGGTGAAAAATAGTATTCTTTTGGAATAGGGAGATTTTACTTTAAAAATGTACAGACAGTGTGCAGTCTCCTTGAATGTTATATTTCTTAGTTTGTTTCAAATCTTGACACTTCTGTGCCCTGCTAACTAGTGTCCTTTTCTCTTTCAGACTTTGGGAAATCTTGCAGAAGGCAGCAGTTGTGTTAATACTGTGGATCTCAGTCGTACATTTCCTAAATTACTTACAGCTCGTGTTACGTTATCGGAGCTCTGTTGTTATTTAGTTGTTCTCTCTGTAGTTGCCTTCATATGTTTCCTGTGAGTCCTGTTTGTAAATAAAGGTTTAGCTCAAGATAGATAGCATGCTTGAAATCCTTACTCTGGTGAGCATGAAGTATTTCAGTCTACCAATAGATACCAAATATTTTTTTGAGTGTTATTACTTTTTTATTATTATTTTTTCTCTCTTTTCTTTCTTGTCTCTTTTTTGGCAGTTGTCACACCAAAAGTCTGAGATATGCATGTATGTTGTATGTTAGAGGATGGAATAAACAGCAGAGAGCGAGATCTATTGAGAAAATGCACTGAGGTATTTTTTCCTTTTTTATTTCTTCATGTTAATTACCACAAAGATTTAGTTTATTGCAGTCATAGTTCTCTGTAGATAAACAAATACCAACGTAACTTATCTCAGCTGTTTTTTGGCATCCATCATCTCTTATCTCTTTCTCTTTTCACTACTATTTCTCTTTTAGTTCAGTCTTCTTTTTTGTGTAAATTCCTAGTTGTCTCTTCTTCTTTCTTTAAGTCCTGACTTGGTCTGGATGCCAGAGGTTACTTTCTACTTGGAGGCTTTTGTGTCCCAAGATTGGCTCTGCATTTTGTTAAAGAAAGATATTTTGAAATTCTTCTTCAATTATGTAGGCTATCTTAGTAGGGGACCAGTTGCAAATGTTCAAGAGCAGAGACACTTCTGCTACTTCATGCTGAAGGTTTCTTGTTATCCCAGATTGCGGTGACATTCAAGAGTGTGTTAACTATACACAAAGGGCAGAAAATTGGAGTTCAGCATAAGGATTTAGGGCTGGGAAAATCTCCAGTATTGTGTTATAACATTCCCAGTGCCTCTTTAACTATCGGTTTATTGACCGGTTAAGATTAGATGTAATTGCATTGAGAAAGGTGAAACAGTCTTCTATTCAGAGTTATTTAGGAAAGGAAAATGGTAAGAATAGTTGATCAGTATTTGATCACTTGTAGAGTTTAATCATTCCAGCAATTGGCCACAGTTAATGGATGTAACTTGACTGGTATAAACAAGGATGAATTAGGGTAATTGGTGACAGATTTCTTGAGAGTTTATAAAAGTTGTGTGCCTGTGCAACATTGCAGTGCCACTTTGAATGAGGCAACAGTTAGTGAGGATAACATCATGTTCTTCTGTTCTTACAATGTATTGTGTCTTAGGATTGGTATGTAGTCACATATTATGATGCGATGATATCCATGTTTTCTGTTCTTTTGTAGATATGTGTGCATATTTTGTCATTATAGCATTTTCAAAGGAGTATCAGTTGCTGTATCATCACACTCCACATACCCAATTTTCAGTCCCTTTAAAAGAAATGACAGTGAATAAATGCACCCAATTTCTGACAGATGTACTAAATGGTATTTGTTACAACATAGCAATCTCATACACATCAGTCCTTAGTACATGGTTTGATTAACAGGTTAATTTTTCTTTTTCTTTTTCTTTTTCTTTTTTTTTTCTTCTTACTTTCTAATGTATTTCATTGTCATTTATGAAGGAATGTCAAAGTAACATGTTAGAAAAATTTATATGTGTTAAAGTATTTTTCTCACAGGTCATCAATAAATTTCTATGTAAAAATTGTCAATCTAAAATGCTTTGCCATTGTTGTACAAAAGGAAAGTAAATTTGTTGTACTCAAGTGTAGACAAGAAGTTTGAATTTTTTTTATATCTTAGTTGTTATTAGCGTGTAAATCATTCCTCTGTTTCTTACCCTCTTTAATTTAATTTATATATTGAATTTGTTTTCTTGTTTCTTTTTTAATTTCCTTTTCTAGTTTACCTTTTCATTCTTCTCATATTACGAGTTCTGCATTGTTTGCTGATCGAAGGTATGAGCTCTGTGGACATGTTATTGGATCATGTTACAAGTTCTTAGGTGACTTTGTTATTCACATATTAGTCAATTAGGATGTACCTGTTCTTTGTTATAATATGTAAGTGGATTTACTTAGCATTATATTACAAGAAGAGAATATTCAGTGTATGTAATTATTTACAATGGAAATGACTACAGCGAGTACTACCTATGCCTTAAAGACCATAAAAGAGACCCATGTCTTCTAAACAAGAATAAATGTCCTTCCTGTAAAAAAAATATATATAGTAAGAAAGGCAATGGACCTTATTTTGAATTTTTTATTTTATTTATTTTTTTCCTATTCAACACATGAAATAATGTCCATTTTCTGTTTACCTTTTCTCAACTAATTTCATCCCTTTTTAAAATTTAGTTTTATTTTTTTATTTTTGCCTCTTATTTTTTCAAGTAAAGAAAGCTTGACTTGCATTGAAGGTAAAAATAGTGTGCATTGATGTACAAATTGACTATGTGCTGTGTTAATATATTCAGTCCCAGTTTTTTGCTGGGAACTTGTAAGGTTTATATATGGAACATAAGTGAAATAAATAGCAGTCTGCCGAAAATATTCTTTTAGCCCTTATTGTCTCTATCCTGTGCTAGGAGACATACCTGGTTGTCTCCACCAGCCATCACTTTTGCATCATATCCTTTATCACCATCAATATCAAGTAGATTAATGGCCAAATCCTTACATATCTGTCATAGAAATAACATCTTCAACCCACATTGATATTTGTACTGGGCATTGTTGTACTGATACAAGACATCATGATTCATGTATTACCTATACATAAAAATCCTGTAGGTTCACATTATTGATAAATTAATACTTTAGGAAGAATGTCGTCCATGATGCCTTCAAATTCTAGACAAAGTGTAAGTGTAATTTTTTTTGTTTTTTCTTTTTTCCCCATCTTTAGTTTTATGTCAAATGCCAGTAACAGAGGGATGTTCTGCAGAAGGTAACAAAAGTTACCATATTTTTTTGCATATCATAAGAATATTTCTTTTCCTCCTCACTCTCTATGTTGAAAGATGTTTTGGATCCAACATTTTAGCACTGTTCATTGTAAATAAATCATATTATACCTATCACCCAAGTTTAAGCTGTAAGTATTGGTCAAGTGATGTTGACATGTAATGTATAAGCATCATTCAAGAATACCAATTACTGTTGTCTAATATCCTAAGTGCTCATTTCTCTCTGTGTTTTCACCAGTGAAAAAATGCTTCTCATTTGTCATCATGTCTCACTGTTTAAAAATGAGATAAAAAGAAAACAAAGGGCCAGGACAGTGCTTTTGGTGGCTGAGCAGAAGGAAAATGTATGGCATTTAGTGTTAGGCACTAAAGTGTTTGTAATGACACTATCAGATTTTGGAGATGCAGTTAATTTTATGAAAGGTTCAAGATGTAAAGGTTTTACTGGATGTTACCATTACTTCATGTGTGAAGAGCAGCAGTAAGCAAGATTTATGAAGGAAATCAGACAGTTGTTAAGTGCAGTGCCATCAGGTGTGCTTTTGATTTTACCAAAACCTATTAAGGACTTGTTTATATGGTACGTGGCTGTGTCTCTTGGCCATCCATCTTGCTAAGGAGAACCAGAAAGGTGTGGCATGTAGTTACTGTATCTACAATTAAAGATAATTGTAATT